ATTGTCTATGTAGAAAACCAAAAGGATGGGCGTGTGTGTGCATGTGCACACACAAACTCCCCTGCCCACCTCTGCTGGAACTAAGAAGCGATATAGGAAGGTTGCAGAATACAAAGCCAATTGCTTTCCTATAGGCCAACAACAAACAGCTGGAATTTGAAATTTAAAATACAGTAACATTGACTCTAGTACCTACAGAATCAAACACTTCAGCATAAACTTAACAGAATACATACAAGATATAAGGAAAAAACACAAAACTTTGGTGAAAAAAACCCCAAAGATCTAAGGAAACAGTTATTCCATGAGCTTGGACACAAAGGCTGTGTTTGTCAAGGTGAGGATTCTGCCAGTTTATCTGTGCCCTCGACACAATCCCACCCGAAGTCCCAGCAGCTTATTTTACAGTGAACTGGTTCTGTTCTGAAGTGTGTACTGAAAAGTCTACATGTTGCTGAATGGGCTAAAAGAAGCAACAGGGCCTGACTTGGAGACCTGCTGTGACATCTAGTCAAAACGATAGTGTGGTGGTGGCAGATGGACAGAGAGCCACGGTAAAGCACTGTGCGTCCACAGCAGACCTTGGAAATACAGCCAGCTGACCTTGACCACAGCGTGGATGCAATACAGGGAGGCAAAGAAAGTCTTTCCAAGAGGTGGTGTTTGTGGATATCCACATTTTATTAGTTCCCTTTTTGTTTGTTTCTGGATCTAACGCCATTTCCAGAAGCTTCTCAGGAGTTTATTTTGGCTCGTCAGTCCAGAGCATGGCAGTAGGCAGCCAGAGCAGGAGACTGGCTGGTCACTTTGCATCTACACTCTTGGGGCAGAGAGAACAGGAAGTAGGGTGAGGCTAAAAACCCTCAAAGCTCCCCCCATGATGTACAGCCCCCAGCAAGGCCGCATCTCCTAAAGGTTCTGTAAACAGAACACCACCAACAATTAGTGACCAAGCATTCAAATACCGGAGACTGTGCGAAATGTTTCTCATTCAAACCACAACATATGGGGCTGGAGAGATGGCTCTGTGGTTAAGAGCACTGGCTGCTCCTCCTCAGGACCTGGGTTCAATTCCCAGCACCCACATGGCAGCTCACAGCTGTCTATAACTCCAGTTCCAAGGGATCTGACACCCTCTCACAGACATACGTGCAGGCAAAACACCAATGCACATAAAATAAAAATAAATTAAAAACAACAAAACCCACCGCATAATGCAAAAGCAAACAAAAAGCCAAAAATATAAAACATAGATCTTCTACCTTCATATTATGTCAAATCAGGCTACAAACCTAAATGCACAATGCAAAGCTTGGAAAGCCCCAGTTGATGACAGAAGAGGAAAGCTAGATGATTTTTTTTTTTCTTTTTTTGAGACAGAGTCTCATGTAGTCCCGGCTGGCCTCCAATTCACTAAGCAGCCAAGGATAGCCTGGAATTCCTGATTCTCCCGATTGCCTTCAAGTGCTGGGATTTCAGGTATGCACTGCCACACTTGGTGTATAGGATGCTACAAATGTGGTGTCAAGTGGGTTGGAGTGATGGGTCCGTAGTCAGGAGAGGACAGCAACAGAAGAACCAATGGGAAAAGGTAGTGTAGGGAGTAGAAGTCCTCGGAAGCCCCGAGAGCACGCGCATTGTTAACATGGGCATGGCCATGTCAAGGATGCTGAGGCCTTAGTCTCAGAGGCGTGGCAGAGTCTTACCCAGGTGAGGACCAAGAGGGTTGGCAAAACTCTCCTTGGAGTCCAAACCTGAGTGTTCATGAATGATTGATCAGAATGTACACAAACCAGGAAACGCAGCTTCCTCCTCACAGGTGTTCACAGCCTGAGACTGCCCGCCCGCAGACCTGTGGAGACCAGCTAACCCTTCCCCCTGTGCCGTACATAATCAACAGGATGAGGTTTCTGCTGGCCGCAGACGTCCTCTATCAGAGTGTGCACCCACACCGGACCCCAGCTTTCCTCTGTGTGTGTCTGCCCTTTCTTCCTTCCCTTGACACCTTAGTCTGGGTTCCAGGGCCCAGGCTACAAGGGTCCTGAGAGGGGTAGAGGGAGAGAGGACAAGACTGGCCCTCAGGGTGGCTGGAGCAGGTGGGGGTGAAGATGAGAGGAACGTCTGGAGCGGGTGCAGCAGTGGGAGCCCCTGGGAACTCAGTACGCCCTCACTTTGAGACTACCTGTGAAGTAGACCTGGGAGGCAGGGGCCGTGGGGTTCCCAGGAGGGCTTCTGAAGGTGGTCAGGTATAGGATGTAGGCAGGGGCCAGCTTAGCAGGACCTTGGCCTTGGTCAGCTCTGGGAACCTGCAGAAGGTCCTAGGGCTGGTCAGCTGTGCCCCCTGGTGGTGGTACCTAAAATCACAGCCTTCCTAATGAGCCCTGTGGACCTGGGTTGGCATGTCTCCAGGGACAGGATTTGTTCCAAGAACCTGGTCCTCAGGGGCATACCCTCTCACTCACCCTGGCTGCTTCCTTCTTGGTGGGTCCCGACCCCTTCCCAGACCTCCTTGTCCATGTGTCCACTCACACCCCCCAGGCTATCTGCCAACAAACCCTTACCAGCCCCATGAAGGCAAGGATCATGGTCTCTTATCACATGGCACATGCCTGGCAGACAGTGGGGACTCAAGTCATTTCTAGGAGGCAATAGCTAACTTCTTGCTTTCGGCCCCATTGAGGGCTTTCTCACCACCCTAAAGTACTGTTCAGCATGGCTCTACCTGGCCTCAGAGCTAAGCACACCTGTGGTCCCCACCTCCTGTGAAGCTGGGATGGTCCAGGTCAACATCGCAGGGATCTGGTTTATGCTGGATGAGCTGCTGGGGAAGCACAGAGCGTTGGTCATACTTGGTCACTTGTGGAGTCAGGGAAGATGTGCATGGGGCCACTCTGAACCCAGCAGCACATGAGCACATGAGCAGAAACTGTGCCCACAGGGACCCAGTGCACGTAGCTACCTTTCCCTTGGGGGATCTCTCATGAGTTCACTTCTCTCTCGATTACCTGTGGTGTGTGAGGGACACGAGAAACGGCAAAATCCAGGCAGCAGGTCACTCCTGAGCTCTAGCTCCACTTGTAGGTATATTATTACATTCCTGAAACACCTAAGGGCTAAGGACACCCAGGCCACATGGTAGGGTCTGAAGTGGGCATGGGTCTTGGGGGCACCACCCCCCTGTGGGGGTGCTCAGAGGCTATTGTACTCTTTTCTGCCCAGCTGGCACAGCACAGGGGAACAAGCAGCGGCCGGTCTGAACGTCATGGGGTGGACACTCCCTCTGTAGAAACACACCTGAGCATGCCGGCCCCCCAGACACCCAAAGAGAGTAGGCGGAGGACAGGAAACCCAGGGACGCTGCTTACCGAAGGATTTGTTAGTAGACTGCTTACCTCTAGCTGGAGAAGAGGCAGACAAGCGCAGCAGCGACAACATCAACAGACACTCTGCCCAGGGGATGCCCAGAAGGGGGGACAGAGGTGACTAATGTCAGCAAACATCCCGGGAGACACCCACCACCACCACCAGCTGAGATCCCGACAGCCCTAGTACAGGCGAATATGTCACACGGCGCATCTTCCAATTGTGGTGGGGGAAATATCGAGTGCACCCTGGGCACTGCTGGAGGGTGACTGCTAAGAAACCAGCCTGTAGCAAAGTGTGGTGCTGGAGCGCAGGAGACCCATGAGGATGCCCACCAGTGCTTACCCCAGCCCACTCAGTCCAGCCAGGCGGCCCGTCAGGCTAACAGGAGGCTGAGAGATGAGTATCGAGGAGGCGGATGCGCAAGGCTGTGCTATCACCATCGGCAGAGCAACACACATCACAGGGCGGGAGCTGCCACTCTGGGTGGCCTAGGGTGGACTGGAACGGGCAGGCAGCAGGGGCTTGGCGGGGGATGGTACTGGCTCTGTAGTTGCACTGTGGAAACTCACGAGTTGTATACATACGTGGAGCTTCTTCAGGTTCACTTGAGGACAGGGGAGGGCAGACCCAGGGCTCTTCAGGTGCCCTAAAAGGAGGCTAATGATGCAGGTGCCATGGGTGCATGCCATAGCTCCTGGTAAGAGGTCTACAGGCCCAGACCACCAAGAATTGTGGCCCCTGGAGGAATCAGTCTGAGAAATAGCAAGGGCCACCCTCTCCATGCTGTAGGCCAGAGTATGTCATCTGTAGCAGGGTATGTGTGTGTGTGTGAGGGAGGGCTGTTACGGAATAATCTTTTTATACACTGTGAAGATGTGTCTTTGCCAAGGCCTTCTGACTAGTTTTGTAGAAGAGCTGACTGGCCAGTAGCTAGGCAGGAGGAATAGGCAGGATGGCCAGACAGAGGACGCTGGGAAGAAGGAGGGAGGCGTCTGGGGAGTCCCGAGCAGACAGAGAGAGAGGCAAGATGAACTTGACAGCTGTGTCATGTGGCAGAGGGTTAATGTAAAATGTAAGAGTTAGCTAGCAACAAGCCTGGGCTATAGGCCGAGCATGTATAAGAAGTCTCTGAGTGGTTACTTGGAGCAGAGACACTCTGCCTACAGAGGGCACCGGGAGGTGGCAGACATCCTGCTATGGAGGCTCCCTGCCGGCCTAAGCCTGCTTCTGCCCAGCATCTGACATAAACGAGCTAAAGGAGCTGTCTTCTTCAGTCCACTGATACAGCCACTGCCACCAAGGCCAAGGGTCCGACCCTCAGGCTGCCTGGCCCTCCAGAAGAGAATGTTCCGGAAGAGGTGAAGTGTGCTCAGATCTCTGTCAGAACACTCTGACATACAAGGGGACACGTGCAGAAGGCACCCAGGGCACTACTGCCCTTCACCTTTCCTTCTTTACCCGGGTCACACAATCTCACGGTCTGGGGCAACGTCCCAGTCCTGGCCAGCAGGCTCACACAGCTAGGCCCTGTACTGGTGATTTCCCCCTTTTTCTGAAGACTCAGAGAACTGAGACTCATCGAAACCTCTTGTTGTGGAGTACCATTCACTAGTTTCAGAAGACCTGAGACACGGTTGAAAGTAGTTTCCAGTGTGGAAAGGAGTTTATTCTGTGGCTACAGGGACTGCCTGCTACGGAATTTCCCTGGCTTTAGTCAGCATGTGTTTACTTTGGATGAAAGAACTTTTCTTTATCCGTACACAAGGTATTCTGATTATCAGACTGGTCTGGTAACGAAAACCTAAACTGTTTTCTTTTTTTAAAACTTAAGTACGGGCAGCAGTGGCACAGGCCTTTAATCCCAGCACTCGGGAGGCAGAGCCAGGTGGATCTCTGTGAGTTCGAGGCCAGCCTGGTCTATGGAGCGAGATCCAGGACAGACACCAAAACTATACAGAGAAACCCTGTTTTGAAAACAAAACAAAACAAAACAAAAAAAATTTTTGTTGGGCGGTGGTGGCACACGCCTTTAATCCCAGCCAGGCGGATCTCTGAGTTCGAGGCCAGCCTGGTCTATAAAGTGAGTTCCAGGAAAGGTGCAAAGCTACACAGAGAAACCCTGTCTCAAAAAAACAAAACAAAACAAACAACAACAACAAAACTGAAGTACCCCAGTCCATCTGATCCAGGATTGCAGAACATAAGTGCTTCAACCAGATCCTCTGGAAAAGGTGCACTTGGACCTTCCAAAGGGAACACACAAGTGAGGCAAGCCCCCCTCCACTGAAGCCCTGCTGCTGCTTGGGGCCATGGAGGGGTTCTGAGCTTACTGCTGGTGGAAGGAGCTGGGTCAAGCCCAGCATGGACGGAGGCAAAGCTCCTTCTTCAGGCAGAAAGCGTCTATGCTTCTAACACAAAGGCACTCCTGTGTCCTGGCTGAACGGAGCCCAGACAGGCCGAGTGTGGCCCAGGCGGCATTACTTCCCCGTGAGCTCTAGCACCTTCTTCACCATGGCCCCGATGCCGTCGTGGATGTGGTGGAGCGCCGTCTCACACATGAAGGCCGGGGTCGTGACCACCTTGTTTTTCTGGTCTACATGAGCTTCGTGCGCAGATGTTAGGGAAAACGCAGCACTGGACAGGATCACGGGGAACTGTGGGGAACAGGCCTGCCTGCCCTCACTCAGCCTTGCTGCTCAGTGACATCACACTAGCAAGTCTGCACCTGATGAACCCCTGTCACCCAAGGGGAACTAGCTTCTGACTCACAGGCGCTCAAGAGGAAGAAAATGTGACAGCCTGGGGTGGGGTGTGGCGATGCCTGCATGCTGACCCCACATGGGGGGTAAAACTCACCTCGGCCAGGCCCCGCCAGTTCCAGCTGTGGAAACTGAGGACCCACTAGAGCAAGCCAGGAGCCCCGCCCACGTCTCCCACACTGGTCTTGCTTCCTTCTGTGGTGACCAGCAACAGCTCCCAACCCTCCAGGCCCCCGAGTCCCGCCCTGGCCTGCACTCTTCGGAGGCCACCTATCCTTGTGGGGACCAGGCTTGCCAGCAACATGCTCCAGGCTGGGCAGTCTCAGTAGGTACAGACACGTGGATCTTCCCTGGCCAAGTGTGGAGCCGGCGTTCCACCGGCCTGCCCGGGGCATACCAAGCTAGTTCCACCCCATGACACTGGCTGGCCCGGTCTCTTGCCCAGGGGTTCCCTTGAAGTAAGACCAGCAAATATAATTCCTGCTGAGAAGGCTACCTGCCACGGGCACCCTAAACCACCAAATGCATGGTCCCTAATGTGCTACCCGACACCACACTGACCAGCTGCCAGAAAGGATATGGTCACACCCTTCACACAGTGCTTGGCACCCAGGGCTTTGATGGCTTCTGCAGTTCCAGCGTAAGGCCACTTGCCACCCTCCTCTTGCTCGTGGCCCACGGTGACCTCGACGCCTTTGATCACTTTGGCGGCGAGAACAGGTGCGATGCAGCACAAGCTGAAAGGTTGACGGAGCTGCGTCAGCACTGAGAGGGAGGGAGGCCTGACGACACTCTGGTCCCCAGACGGGGCGGCTTGGGAGTCGTCAGGCATCTGGGCAGAGATGGCTAGGAGGGAGGCTGAGGGGCCTGGGCAGCCAAACTCCACACTGCCGCCTGGCTGTCCACTGTCTAGATCAGCGGTTTTCAACGGGGGTGGGGGTGGGGGTGGAACGACCCTTTCATAGGGGCCACATATCTGATATCCTGCATATCAGATTATTTAATTTATGACTCCTAACAGTAGCAAAATTATAGTTATGAAGTAGCAATGAAAACAATTTTATGATTAGGGGGTTACCACAACATGAGGAACTGTGTTAAAGGGTCACAGCGTTAGGAAGGTTGAGAACCACTGGTCTAGAGTGTCTAGCAGAGGTAACAGCCCTGCATGACCTCGTGACCCTCAGAAGTGAGCTGCCCTGGCTGGGCATGGTGGCACGAGTGATATTCCCAGCACTCAGGAGGCAGAGGGATCTCTGTGAGTTCAAGGCCAGCCTGGTCTGTATAGTGAGTTCCAGGCCAGTCAAAGATATATAGCAAGACTCAAAAACAAACAAACAAAAGTGAGCTGCCCTGACACACAGGAGATGGGCAGCTGTGCCTAGTGACCATGGGCTGGGCTCACATGGCTGCCCCACCCGGGGGCCAATCCCACCTCCACTGCACCCACCACACTCCCAAGCCACCGCTCTTCACAGGCCGCCGCGGGTCTTCCCGGGTTCCAGTGCTGGTGGAGGTGCCACAGCAAGAACTGGCATGACAAAGCCCTGCCACCCACCCACCCTCTTGAACCTGGTGTGTCACCTACCCGATGGGCTTCTTGGCCCCATGGAAGTCCTTCAGGACGCGCTCCACTTCCTTGTTAACCTTACAGTCCTTCCCGTCCACAGCGAACGTGCTCCTGCCGTGAGGGAAGAGGCTTTGCTCAGGAGTGTCCCCCGAATCTCGGAGTGGCCCACTGGACGCCAGAGGAGCGGCCCACAGTGTGGCCACATGCCAGGCGGACAGCCTGCTATCACACTGAGGGCATAGCTGTGGCTCTAGCTTCTCATTCACCAGCCAGAAGGGTGGAAGGCAAGAGGTGGGTGGCCAGTCTGTGACTGCACTCTGCCTTCAGAATCCAGGGGTTTGCAGCAAACCAAAAACAAAACCTCAAGAAGAGGGTTCCAGACAAAGAAACACAATTAGCCTAGGAGAAGCAGCCGTTAGGACACCGACAGTGGATGACATGAACAAACGCCCTGTTCTTCCTGGGAGTAGAACAGCCAGGGGCGGCTGGGCAGTTCTAGAGTTACTACAGTACCCCTAAGAGATCGCAACCTGGCAGAGCCTAGAGTTCCACATGTGTGTGCACCTTTGTGCCAGGACACAGCTTCCGGGCCCTCCGGTGCTGTGGCCCGGAGATCTGGCTCTGAGGGACCAGGTTCACCATCAGGTGTTACTTCTGTTAGCCAAACTCACCAAATCTTTCCACCCTTTAAACTCTTACCACCACCCCCCGTCACACACACACACACACACACACACACACACACACACACACACACACACACGCCCTTTTAGGACGCTGTGAAAAACAAGCAAGCACACAAGAAGTCACCTGAGCCACCAGGCTGACTAGTAACAGGACTCGCAGCGCCTTGGCCACCATGTGGCGTCTACGCCACTGCTGAACAGTTCTCGACTCCGCTGCAGCGGACCACAGATAAGGACGTCGGGCAAAGCAAGAACAAGCACCTCCCACGCTGCTGGCAGCGATGAACACACCCACACACTTGGGGCTTCTCCAGAAGATACGCGGGATGGCAGCAGTGCCTGGAACCACGGGATGCCCATTGTGAGCCTGGCACTACTCACTTGCCAAGACACATGTGCACACACGAAGTCCGTCACTTTTCATGTCGAAGGCTCATAGCCAGCCACCCACGATCTCATACACGCTGAGCCTCAGTCACCTCTCACCTACGTGTGCCCACTAAGGCTTAGCCACCTGCGACCACACACGTGTGCTACGTTTCAACGATGGCTGCAGCCACCAACTAGCATGGTGGTGTCATGGGTTCAAGAGCGGCGTCAACGAGGGCCTTCAACGAGGGCCTGCCACTCTTCGGAAAAGGTCAGAAAGACGGAAGATGGCAGCTACCTCACGGGCTAGTGGGCTCAGACACAGGTACAGAGGCTCACAGACTCCTCAAGCCATGCAGACTCAACACCAAGAACCTCACATGCTCCCGAGCCCACACTGCTAAGTGAACAGGACGGACCAGCTTTGCTGGCAGACATGGCTTCTAGACAATCTTCCATGAGGCAGGAGTTGACAGGCAGAATCATGAACACAGCTCGGCCTTCCAAGAAACAGCGGTTCAGGTAGAAGGGAAAAAAAAACCCAGTGACACCCATGCCCTGCCATGCTGTTGTGAGGATGGGGCACACAGGCCCTTGGCTAAGGCTGGCACTGCCAGAATCGCTGGTTTCAGGACAGAGGGGGTGGGTGCCACCAAAGAGACTGGAGGTGTGTGGAATCTGGAGAATCTGGAGAAAGGGACATTTTGATGGCCCAACCAAGCAGTCAGAGGGCTCAGCTGAAGAAAGCTGCAATGGTGACACTTGAGAGCATGAAGCCCCGTGTCCTTCCCTTCTGGGAGCAGGGGAAATACCTGGGGATACTGCAGAGCCTGCTTGAGGCCCTCCCTGACAACCAGCTGGGTGGCCACCTCTCAGACAGGGCCACGCTGAGGCTAGAACCACAAAGACTTCCATGGATGCACAAGAAAGAACCAACGGGAGCTGTGGAGAGAAGGACCCCAGTGCAGAGGCTGCCACCTTCAGTTTATTTGCTATTTCCCACAGCAACAGCAGCTCAGATAGCAAAGCACAAAAGGCTTTGTCTTTCCTGTTGCCAGGCAGCGTAAGGGTGTCCTGCTTACTGCTCTACTGCTGTGAAGAGACGCTGTGAGCACAGCAACTTAGATAAGAAGGCATGCTTATGGTTTCAGAGGGCTAGTCCACGACCATCATGGCAGGGAGTATGGCAGCAGGCAGGCATGCACTGGAACAGTAGCTAAGAGCTTACATCTGGTCTGCAGGGCTAGGGGCAGAGACAGACAGACAGACAGACAGACAGACAGACAGACTGAGACTGAGACTAAATGGGCTTCGTGTGGACTTTGAAATTTCAAGGCCCACTCCCCGGTGATACACGCCCTCCAACACCACCACACCTCCTAATCCTTCCAAAACTGCTCCACCAAACAGGGACCAAGCATTCAGACATAAGAGCCACTGTCATTCAAATCACCACGGAAGGAGGACAGCTCTGTGTGAGAACTGGCACTTGCAAGGACAAGCAAGCAGAGTTTGCTGAGACCTGACTCACAGCATGGAGGTCAGTAGACTGCCCAGCCCACCCAGACAGCTTCCAGGCACTGAAGGAAGAAGCAGAGAACACCCCACTGGTCTTGCTAAAGTGTCCCCAGTCCACCCCTTGTAAAAGAGCAGACACAAGTGTGGTCTAGACCCTTATACTTGGGAACGTACAGGTTTTTGGCAGCTCCAAAGCCTCCAGGGAATATGGCGGCATCATGGTTGGCAGCATTGAGCTGGGCCAGGTTGGTGATCTTGCCTCGGGCAATTCTTGCTGATTCTGCCAAAACATTCCTGGAAAGAGGACAGATGAAATGAAGGGTTAGTGTGTAAGCAGGGCCAGGACACAGGCACCATTGGGGACTCATCTTGAACACGGCTCACAGTCTGAAATGAGCATGCTCACACGTGGAGACCAATGCTTCCCAAGGAGCACATCCGGGCAACATCTGGAGACAGTGACAGGATTCCAGTGCCCTACAAAAACAAGCCTTGCAGGCTGGCCCCAGGATTGACACCAGGATACCTGGAATCTGGGGTCAGTAGGAACTGGGGTCCAGCAAGTATCCACAGCAGACAGAATCCAGTGCTCCTCACCAGAGTGGTTGTCTAGGAAACTACTTCTAAGGATGTCTGAAGTCACCTGAACATCAGACACAGCAGGAAGTTACTGCTACCTCATCCAGGCTGGTATAACAGAGGAGGAGGGGCAGATTCAGGGGCCAGGGTCCTGGACTGAGAAGGAAATGGCAGGGATCCCAACAGGCAGCCTTGGCAGGTAAAGGTCCCCTCCCTACCCATTCAATCTCAGCCCTTAAGACACAGCCTTCAGGGCCACCCTGTAGCCAGGCCTCAGATAAGAAATGTAGTTGTGCTAGGCATGATGGCACATACCTTTGATCTCAGTACTTGGGAGGAAGAGGCAGGTGAATCTCTATGAATTCAAGGCCAGACTGGTCTACATAGTGAGTTCCAGGCCTGTTAGGGCCACACAGTGACTAGGAAGAACAGACCAGGACCGTACATCCAGAGGAAGTACAACAGTGGCTACTGCCATTCCTGGAACACTCACTGGGAGGTCAGTCACTGTGCCCATGGCAGTGTATTCCCAGAACAGCTGGATGACAGCTGCTTTGAGGGACATATGCTCTACCACAAAACCAAGAAGGCTATACGATCGAAGCTGCTCGTGGGACTAGGGGTCCTGTATGGTCCTTCCCCTACCCATACCTGCTTTCGCTCTCAGAAGGCTCTCCCTTGGTGTGGTCAATCACATGCATCTGAGGGACATCAGGAGCAAAGATCTGGACCTCAGCCCCACCTCGGCTCAGGTGAACCAGGATCCTATGTGGAGAAAATCCACAAAGATGTCACTTCCAAATGTGTCCTCCAGACTCATGCCAACATGATTTTACAAATGAACTTTCACCAAGTGCGCGGGGAGGGGAGGGGGCATTCCTAATTTATAGGACACCTTGTTGCTTTTATGAAGCCATGGCTGGCTCCAAACCAGTACCTACCACTTACAGACATCTGCAAGGTGAGGGTGGAACCAGAAGAGCATGGAGGCATGTGCGTCAAGTGGTCTCTACAATTCATTTTACCAACTGGTGAGCAGAGGCGGCTGTTGATTCAGCAAGCGTTGCATTTTGGGTTCAGGGCCCCCAGGCTGCTGCCAGGCACTCTGCCTTCACCCAAGGCCCAGGTGGCCTCTTTTAGGTCTTGCCTGTGCTAATTATGAGTTTGAACTGATCACGATGTGAACCCACTGCATTTGGTTACGCTTCTGCCTTTTTAAACCAAGAGGGAGTTGACATCACAAACTTTGAGGACTTACGCAGAGGCCTCGTGGATCTCGGTTCCGTCATAGACTCCGCAGCCCGACAGCACCTGCAAGAGGAGAGACGCTGACGAGGACGAAGGGCCCAATACGAAATCCCCAAGGGGAGAGGAGGGCTGAACCCCCTCAGGGACCGACCCTGGGAAGGCAGTGGGTCGACCCCAGTCTGCCGGGAGCGAGCAAGGGGAGGGAGTTGGCCTGGGAGTTTGTCCGGCCGTGCACTCACCAATGCCACCCTGGCCCCGGGCCGCGGTGCGGAGCTGTGAAGGGCTGCGCGCTGGGAGGGAGCATGGTGGCGCGCCGAGAGCGGTGCAAAAGCAGAAAGCAGCCTCGGCGCCACCAGAGCCCTGACGACAGCCATAGCGAAGGACAGACAGCAGTGTCAGGAGACAAGCACCTAGCACAGCGTTACTGCGTGCGCGCAGCTGGGCGGAGTCGCTCCTGGCCAATGGAGGAGCGCGCTGCACGCCCTTGCCCTAGAGGCGGGCGGGACCACGCCTGCGCAGTGATCGACGGAGCCCAGGCCCCGCGGCACTTGTTCCGGAGTGGAGTAGCGGCTGAGCCCGGCCGCAGAACACGCCCCCTACCCCCCGAACCCCCGACCTAAGGGACCGGTAAGCGGACTGCACCTGCCCAATGACCGGCCGAATGTGGGGCACGCCCCTCCCTGGTTTTGAGAGGCAAGGGCGAGCCTGGGTAGTTGCCAGCGTAGGTTAGGACTTTCCCATGAGTGTGCTGGTGGCCGTGCCCCGCGTGCGTAGTGCTTGAAGGGCACTCATCTTGGAGTAGGCCACCCCGACTGCCTTACTGCAGCTCCATTCTGTGCAATCACCAAAAATGCCCGTGAACTGATTTTAACAAAGAGTTCCAGGAAAGGCGCAAAACTACACAGAGAGACCCTGTCTCGAAAAACCAAAAAAACAAAAACAAAAACCAAAGGAGAGGAGCTGAGCACCTGTGCTTTCCTTTTCACGTTTTTGTTTTCTCTGTGTAGCCCTGGCTGTCCTGGAACTCGCTCTATAGACCAGGCTGGCCTCGAACTCAAAATCTGCCTGCCTCTGCCTCCTGAGTGCTGGGATTAAAGGCGTGGTGGCTGCAGTTGATGAAAGGCTTGTTCCAGTTCAGTGTCCATTGGGGTAATAACCAGACACCTTTCAAAGTTTCACTTCTCCCTTGCCACTGTGAACGCTGTCAAAGGTGGCCTGGCTTCTCTCAGCTCCTGGGGGTGATCGTTAGCATAGTGTTTGGTAATCGGCTGCCGGGTGTTTCTATCTTAGGATGGCAGCCCTTTCACGTTTAAGAGACACATGATGAAAATAGGCCTGGGGTGTATAGCGTATGTAGAAGCCAGGGAGCATACAGATGTGGGCTTGGTGGTGTACCACTTATTGGGAGCCACGGCAAAATACTCAATGGAGTGTCAGGCAATTTGCATCTGGCTGTCCACAGGGGCGGAGATGGGCGTGGTTACCAAGGAACAGACCTATAAGGTACTCCAAAGGGTGGCTAAGCCCTGTTTCTGGTATAACAATTAAACTTGTTAGAGATGGGTGATAGCGGACGTACGGCTCAGTAGTACTCGCCTGTCATTCCCCGGGCCCTGTTCCACATCCCCCGCCCCCCTCCACACACACACACACACACACACACACACACACACACAGACAAAAATGGTGAGGCTTCATACAACTGTATTCACTACTGCAGATGGAACTCACAGGAGGGCACTAAAACAAGCCAGGGCGCCCAGGATCCTGCCCCTGGGCAGGCAGAAGTGCCTCTATCCCAAGCTACACACAGAGACACCGCAGGAACAGGAAACCTGGCGATACCAGGCTGAGCTCTGCTTTCTCTCCACACCCATTGTTCAAGCTTGAATGGATTCCAGGTGACCAGGACAGTGTCAGGTCATGGCTCAGCCCGAGTGTAACAGCAATGGCTCTAAGCGCACCAGGCGTCACACAGATCAATTCTTGTAGCCAAGACATAGAGGCCCAGGGTCTAGTATTCCAGCATGAGAGTTGGGACTTGTGGGTCACTTCACTGGTAAGTTGACACACAGAACTTGGTCAACCGCATGAGCAGGAAGTATCAGTAAGGCACCACTCTGGCATGAAGGGACTGACCCCTCTCCCACAGAACCTGTACACACTGGCACAGATCTGTACAAGCTTCCCTGGCCAGGCTTGGGTTGTCACATGCACCCTTCTGGGTCAGCCCAGCACACTTCCTGCCTCGCTCTGTCTACATATAGATATCCTGGGCCACAGGCCTGAGCAGAGAGCCACTCTGATCTACCCTGTTTACTTAAAGACAATGTCTCACCCAGAACACATTATAGACGTCAGAAACTCAAAGTTGAGAAGTGAAGTCCTCACATTTAAAAAAAAAGCTTTTCAACCCTAAGTTGGAAAAAAAAATTCATTCTCAGAAGTTCATATTAAAAATATAAATAGCTCTGACAGGAAGTTTCCAAGTCCACACTTCTAAAAAAGCATTCTGGGCCTACAGCATACATGTGTCCACTGTATCCATCCTGGTCCTAGACCTCAAAGGCTGGCTTGCTGCCTCAGGGCAGCATGTGCAGTCTCACAGGAAGTCCCGGCTGCAGGCTCTGGAGGCCTCTGGCATCTCTCACTTCCTGGGCTCGGCACAGTGGTCCCATCTCCATCGGTCACTCAGGCTGTGCGGTGGTGGATCTACGCCAGCATCCCCTCTTCTTCCTCTTCCTCTGCAGCTGTCCTGAGTAGGTGCAGACTGTCATCATCAGATGTGTCTGTGTCCTCTTCTGTGTCTAAGGGTTCCAGGGTACGTTTTACGCCCCGCTGCTTGGAAATTGCCAGAGCGTACTGGATGTTGTAGCGGTTCCAGTCACAGCTGGGGACACAGGACATTAGGTCAGCATATGCATCCCACCCTGCCAGCAGGATTAGATGCCACTGTTCCCAAAAATTATCTCCTCCTTTCTCAGGCTGATTCAGTTCCTGCTACACCCAGTGTAGAGAAGCATCTGGCTGCTCTCCTTGCTGGCCCTTCCATTACAGCCATTCACAGAGCCAGGGGGCTGACTCTCCACATTCACAGGACTAAGGGGACGATTCAGACCTTATCTCCCAGAGCCACCGTTGAGGGCAGAACCCAGAGAAAGGAAAAGTTGCACCTTGCACTTGTGGGTGCTATGGTCATATATACAGGGCTGCCTCACAAAGCCAGTAATGCCTATGCCTTGTCAACAATGCTAGACCAGGAGCAAGGCCTGGAGGAGAGGAGGGAGATGCAAGAGTCTGTGGAGTCAGGAATGCATCGGCCAGGGAAAGGCTAGCTAAGCAGACCGCCACAGCCTAGCACAACCACCTCCAACACCAGCCTTCCTGCAGCCAGGCAGGAAGAAAGGGCACGAGGAGGAAGGGCTTGCTCTAGACTCAGAAGCATTGTAAAGATAATCAGGAGGACTATGGGGACCACAGTACCCAGGTGCCAGCCTCTCTCAGGGACCCTGTATGGAGAGACTAGTAGACAGGGATATTCTAAGCCTAGCTAGGACACATGGCTATGCTCACAGATCACCAAATCACCTAGAGGAGGAGGCTGAGGAAAGAAAGGATGGATATGGGATCGTTCTAGCTAGCACTGTCCAAGTACTGCAGTTATACACTGGCATCACCACCACACCAGGGAAACCTGCACACACTGATCAGATCTCAAGAATCCAGGCTACCTGGCAATAAGACCTGTGGCCACCTCTTAGTGCCCAGAGGTGACATGCAAATCCATGCCAGGCTGCCTGGTCCTGCAATTGTGAAATGTCCATCCCCAGGGTGAAGGGCTCTCACTACGCCTCAGGCATGTCCCACCTCCACCTGTTCAACTGTGGCAAGTGTTCAGTGTCCTCACTTTAACGTCAGACACCCCCAGAGGTGATCATCACGCTCAGATCCCACTGTGAGTGGCAAATGGACTCAGTTCACCCAGCAGAGAACAGAACATGCATCTCTAACACCAGGATATTCCGGCCCAAATCAGACACCAAGGGAGCAATCTTACTCAGAACCAGCTGCATAAGCCCCGCCCCACCCCGCCCTGCCTCACCCTGCCCTGCCCAGCCACCAACCCCAAGGCACATACAGCTTGGAAACGTCATCCAGGTGTCGCTGGAGGCCCTTCTGAAGGAACTGGACTACAGGCAGCAACTGTCCTGCCCTGAAAGGAAGATGCTGTCAGTGTGTGTGTGACGGGAAGCTTCCCTGTGGCCATGACCAAATGGCCGGGTGACTTGACCCACAGGAGAAGAGCAAGAGGGAACCCATTCTCTACCTGGACTTCAGCCGCTGTCCATGTGACATAAGTAACTTCTGGGTCCATATAAGGTAAAACTCAAGGTGCCTAGACACTTCAAAGGAGGCAGCTAAGAACTCAAGTACTTTCTCTACATACAGCTCAGGAAGGGAAGCGCTGACAACATCAACTGCAGAAAGAAAAGCCGCGATCAGTTTGCAAAGAAGTTGCCAGAAGAATGGAGAGACACCCGGAGCTCCCCTGTCCTAGCAGACCAGGGCGGGCGGTCCTGGCTTACTTTCGTCCTGTGGCACAGCCTCCAGGACCTCCTGTGCCAGTTTCCTCTCATTGAGCCGGAAGGCCATGAGGATGGCCCGGGTAAACTCCCTCTGCCGCAGCGCCTCACGGATCCGCCCAGGCGTCACACTGGTGTCCAGCTCAAATGGGTCGAAGAGCATCTGGGCATCCAGGGAGAAGATGAGGAGCCCTTCTGTGCTGGTGGCTGCCCAGCAGCGCCCTAGGGAGCAAGCAGCAAAGGGACTCCTCAGCTCTGGAACGCTCATCTGCCCCACCTCAGTGTCCACAGACCGCTGGCAGGCACTCTTCCAGGGCTGCACCTGCCCAGCCAGAGCACAGGTGCCCATTGCCTCGGCCTGGCCCAGGAGTCTGCAGGCTTCCCAGAACAGAAGAGCAGATCTGCAGCCTTGAAGGCCACAGTCTGTGCTGCAGTTGCTCAAGCTGCCCACACCCAAGGTGTGCCCACATACTGGGCATAATCAACAGTGGCTCTATCTTAGAAAAACCAAGGCTACAAAATCGTGGGACAGGACAGATGGGACAGATCTGGGCCTCAGGCTGTGGTTTATGGACAGCTGGTCTACCTCCCAATATGGGAAGTGGGATATGGGGTGATCATCTCCGAATGTGTCTGACACAGGACGACAACACACCTTACCTCACCCTGTCCCCTCCACTAGTGCTGCTGACCACTGGCTCAGGACCCTAGACCTTGGCTACAATAACGGAACACACAAACCTAGCAGGCCGCAGGCCTAGGCAGACCCTTGAACATGGAGGGACAGAGGAAAGGTGGGAAAGGCACTATCAATAGCTGAGGTGCTGAGACTGCCTCTGAGGAAGGACATGTGGAC